AAGCAAAGCTCCTTTGAAAGTTTGAGTATGCATTTTCACTCTTGGCCATGGGTTGCTAAATAATTTTGTAGTAGTTATTGTTTGAATTAGGGTTTTTTTTATGAATATAAGTACACATTCTGACATAGACAAAATAAATGGAATCTGAAATGCAGTGTTGATGATTATCTAAGGAGGAAATCTGGCTAATTTTCGTTAGTGATTTATAGGTTGTTTGAGCTTTGTGAGGAAGAAGACTGTTGGACCTTTGTGAGGAAGAAGATGATGCAATCAGTGCATTAGCTTCACCAAAGCCGGAGCCTGATGTGCAAAAAGTCATGGATGGGTCTAGCTCTCAAGAGGTAGTGGTATTATCTTTCACTTTAACTCGAACTTTAATGTTTAACAATGATTATTTCGTTGGTTGTAACTTAGTCTATGTGTCTTTAGTCTTCTAATACTATTTTCAATATTGTCTTTAAACAGTGGCAATATAGAGTTATTATAGGCATGGTTGACATTATCTTACTCTTAGATAGAAAGCTCATCTTGATTATTTCACATTTGACATTATGCATCTATCAAGTTAAAAGCTATTCGACATTGTACGCCTCTTAATAATACATAAACTGCATCATACAGCTATGAGCTTTGATGCAATATTTTGTTGGCGTGTTGTTCATGTCATAATGCTGGTATGCTTTTGACTGTCATATTGCTCATTTAGCAAATTGTCATTCTGTGCTTTAATGCAAATTCACTTTATTATCCAGCTATTCCACTTCAAATGTTTTCTGGGATGCACAACACCTAGCAGGAGCATTGAAAGAAGAAAAAAGGTGAAATAATGGGAAATATTGCCTACAATCCAAGTCCCAGTATCATCAGGGAAGCCTTCACATATCTCTTCATTTGATTGAAAAACAAGACGAATTGATTTCTATTGGCACTAAGTAAAATCCATTATCCATCAAGAACCAGACTAAATTATATATTTTAAATGTATTTGGTTATGTTGATTCCTTCGCTTTATTATGCTTTTAACAGTACAGAAGAGCCAGAATACAAGCTTCTTCATGGAGGCCCTAGGAATGACATAGAAAAGGAGGTAAAACACTTGGCTAAACTGGAGGTAAAATTAATCGAAGATGGTAATGTCAAATTCTGAATTTTCTCTCTTGAGAACTTGATTTTGATTCAAATAAAGAACAAAGTATTTTTTCCAGTGTTTTATGCATTTTCTAATGATTTCAGACCATTTAATTGCTCATGAGCTATCTGCTATGCTTGCTGAAGCCACTCTTATGTTTCTGGTCAGGGGATAAATGGTGGATTCGCTATGTATTTGTTTTAGTCTCTCTAAACTGGGCATTAAATTTTGCACTCTCTTTTATTCTTGCCTTTAATAGATACACCATAAATTACTCCAGAATTGCTGAAATAATCTATTCTCTATACCTTTCTTGAAATTCAATATATACACCATACTTCACTCCAGATTTCCATATAAATAAAG